TCTTGATGATTCTTCTCCCAGTCGATTGATGGTGGATGGATTTCTGGTTCAGATACTGTCCTGTGTGAGTGGGTTTTCGATATACAGATATTTCCCATTTAGTGTCGGTCCTCTTCATCAATACGTCTAAGAAAAGCAATTCGTTGTGGACTTCCTTCTTCATCGTGAAAGTGATGTACGGACTTACGTTGTTGATGTGCTTCAGAGAAATGTCTAGTTCTGCAATTTTATTGTCAAGGGAAACACTTCAAAAGACTATTTGTAGCCTTCATGATTCAACCCCCCAGGAGTAGATGTTACCCTTAGAATTTTAAATAGGAAGGAGGTTCAAGTGGCACATCATTTTGATAGGCGTTCAATTCTGCTTCCAATGGTATCTAACTGCAATTGAAACGTTTCAAGATGGTAACCGAAGAAGTCCACGGCAAACCTCGATAACTAACCAACACAAATCTTTGTTTCTCTTCCTAGACAATACCTCATTACTTCCTAATCTAGTCTCATAATTAAAATTCTAATAGCTCCACAACTAAATCAGGTTCATTTGAAGAACTGATTATTTTATACAGACGAGTTACTGCGTTCAAATAAAATTCAGATAGGGATATATCCAACTCAAAAACATTTGTTGAAACACCGAAAATGATTTGATCTTCATTTTTGAAAAAACCCATACATTTGTTTCGATATTCCTGTTTGGAAAAGGCATTGTATAGCAAAACACGTGTCGAAAGACAGGATGGACAATGACCTAGGAGGACAACTCTTCGGGAAGATGTACAATGGATCACATGTGGCCTGAGTGCTGTGGATCTACACTCACCCTCCCTACTCTACAGATAAAGAACACTCACTTGTGATATTTTCATTGGATAGTATACAAACCACAATAAATCATCTTTTTGTAATCGACAGACCTGATAGAGTGGTCATGATTGAGCGATGTTACCAGGTTTTGTGATTCCTTGAGTATGGTTTTGAGCCTTCAGAAAGCCGATGCAACACTAGCAAACACTACAATATTATTAAATTCGCAATTATTCATGTTGTGTACGAAGATAGACCATGGAAAGGCCAACTGGACAAGAAGACTGATGGGAGACATAGAACCATGGATGAACAGAAAATAGGGAGATGTGAATTACTTCCTCACACAAGTCTTAACCGGTCATGGATGCTTTCAGGTGTATCTGTTAAGGTTTGAAGTGAGTAACAGACAATCTTTGAATGCATACGTTGGAAAGAACAGAGACGAAACGCAGAAATGACGACAGGAGAATTATCATCGGAAAACATGACAGGAGAGATGCTCAAAAATTAAGAAAACTAGAAAGTCGTCAGTAAACTCATCAAGACCATCTAGATGAAGAAAAGAACAAAGAGAATAATGATGGAGAACTGAAGAAAGAGGAAGAGCCCATCGCTGTAGTCTGCTGTTCCAAAGTATGCTACAGGGTGGTTCCAGAGTAGCATGTTCGACTGTTTAGTGGTTTTTAAGTCGGTAAGAATTCGATACTACCTGGAAACAGAGAGACCAGGTGCCTTTCGAAGATTTTTCCACTCACCGAAAAAAAACACTGCCAATGAACGTCCTTAATTTTCCCTCAAAATTTTCAACCCAATCTCAAACTTCGTACATTCCAACTTGAACATGAAATTTTCCTTTCTATTTATCCTAGAAGATCTGGAGCTTCAACAACAATTTCGTTGTATTACTCTTCCAAAATGCTGTTCTGTTTTTCATCTCATTATTTATTGATCTTCCCATTTGATCACTCTCTCAATTCCCGCTTCTGGTTCTTGAATGCCCTCTTCTCTCTTGCGGTTTAATGAAGGTCTCATACTCGTTTTTTATACTTTCTCAATCTTCTCTCGCTTTTTCAGTTCCTTCAATTCTTATCACTTTTGTTTTTATTCATCGACTACAAAAAATCTACGTCTGCATGTCAGAGATTCTATTGTCATTATTATTATTATTATTATGAATATTTTTCCCTGAAACTGCGCTGGTCGAGCCGTACTGCCAAAGCCCCGATACATTCGGAAGGGTAAGCCAACATTATCAACCAATGACCACTCCTCACACCGTGGTGTGAGTGATCATTGGGTCCAAAAATTATGTGCCCTAAGCAAGCGCAGTGAGTCAAGAATACCAGCCTGCTGCAGTTTACCTTAGTGCGGCAATCTGGCATAGTCTTGAGATTCGGGAGTAGAAAGGGCTTTATTCCACCAAGGATTCCAATTATTTGAACAACCTTTCTGATGGAGTAATTTGGATAGAGTCTGCGGGGTTCGAAGAGAAAATTTCGATATTTTATCCTTTTTTTCTCCTTTTTTCGGCTATGAGGCTGTGGGTGGGAAACGAATAGTTCCAATAAATTAGGCACTTGTCGTTCCCCACTACGGATTCAATATCCCTCGAAGCGTAGGGCAACACCGGTGTCTCGTCAATACCGTAAGAGTGCCGTAGGTGGTGATAACACCAACCGTGTTATGTCGACGGATATAGACCGAGACCGCATATGCTGGACACGATGACAACAGCTCAAGGAATGATGAAGTTCCTTCTCTCCAGAGGCTAAAAGTTCAAGATTATCCATTTGAAACAAATGGGTGACCTTCGGTTTCTAGAGGTGCTATCATTTGTATCCTCGAGTATTCCTGAGTGCACTGGATAATGGCAATAGTTCTCTGCTGAAAGCTTCGAACTGCGTTAGGGTTGTAGTGTCTAAGCTGAGTGTCTGCGTGTGTTAATAGATGTCCTTTCAGAAGGATTCTACTTGATTAGTGGTCGGCGGTTTATCCAGAACACTTAGAGACTTTTGGAATAGGCGGGAAAGTTTCATGATTGACTTATGAAAAGTTCGTCATGAAATTTTTCTATTTTCAGACCTAAAAATATCCACTTTTCATTTGTGTACTCTTTCATTTTGAAGTTTTTGGATAAACCTTCTTTTTACAAAGTTCATATATTTTATATCGTCAGAAAACAATATTAAATCATCAACATAAATTAGCAAATAAGTACTTTCTTTAAAATATAGACAAGCATCTTTTTTGAAACGTTGAAAACCTAAAGATGTTAAGCATTCATGAAGTAACATATTCCAGCACTTTGGTGCTTTTTTCAACCCATATAGAGATTTATTGAGTTTACATACCAAATTTGATTGACCTGTCTCCAGTCCCTTAGGTTGATACATATAAATAGTTTCTTCCAATGTTCCATACAAGAATGCTGACTTTACGTCTAACTATGGAACAGATAGATCATATTGTAGGTACAATGATAAAAGAAGTCGGATTGTGACCATACGTGCCTCTGGTGCATATACATCTACATTTAATTCACTTTGACGAAACCCACATGCCACCAATCTAGCCTTTTTTATTATTTCACCATTCACTTCCTTTTTCCAAAACACCCACTTTGAATCAATTACCTTTACACCTTTTGGTTACTCTTCCAAAACCCAAGTTTTGTTCTCTTCCAATGGTTTTTTTTTGGTGGGGTGGAAACTCTCATGGGCACTGACCGCTTGGTTTCCATCACGAGTCACTAGTGCCGGACTTGTTCCGGCTAAAACCACCCCATTGCCTTCTCCCGTACCCGGAACTATCCGCAGGACATCAGGTCCAGGCGGCATTTTTCATTACCTTTGCTCCCTATCTTGTGTTTCGAACATCCTTTCCTAGTTCTTTTTTTGGCTCATCGTCTTCTCCAAATACCTCGCTCCTCTATACCACTGGCTGTGACTATTTATCATCTTTTCTACAAGGCTGTCGGGGTTAATTTCTCCGAGTTCCATCTCCAGTTCATTTATCTCTCTTTCCCACCTGGAGCATACGAATAAAGTGTACTCAGGGGTCTCGTTCACCTCGGGGCAGTAAACGCATTTAATATCTGGTGACTTTCCGATCTTCCAGGTGTATGCTTTGAAGGACCCGTGTGTCCGCTAAGATCTTGGCTTATGAAGTAGTTCGTCGTTTTGTATTCACACTCCACCCATCTATCTATATTTGGGATCAGGCGCTTGGTCCACTGATCTTTTCCGGTGTTGTTCTGCCACCTTTCCTGCCACTCTACTATTGTTGACTGCCTCTCCTCCTTCCTTACATTTTCATCGACGAAGGGTCGATGTATCAAGCCCTATGTGCTCTCTCACTAAGAGATCGATGGGTGGGATCGCCGCTATAACGTTACTTACTTCTGCGGACACCGTCCTATAAGCTATTGCTACTCTTAGTAGCATTCTTCTCTGCGTCGAATTTATCATCATTTTGTACCGCTGTACCCACATTACTCCACCCCATATCGGGGCTGCGTACAGAAGCACCGACTGTACTACCCCGTACATCACCCTTCTCTTCTGTACCCCTGGACCACTTATATTCGGCAGGATTTTGGTCAATGCCGCCGTTTGTCTAGCCGCTTTTTCACATATTTTTGTAATCTGCTCATTCCATATGAATTTGTCTTCCAGATAAACACCTAGGTAGTTAAGGTATTTTCTATGCACTTTGTACGTTCCTTACAACTGATAAAATACGTCATCTCTCTTTCTAGGACCCTTTAGTATAATTGCCTTAGTTTCATGTGATGCGAGTATCAGTCAGTTGTCATCCATCCAGCAGTTTATGAGTTCCATCGAGACGTTAGCTTTCCTAACCTTACCTAATCTAACCTTTATTTTTCTGGTAGGGTGGAAACTGCTTAGATCCTTGGCTTGTGTAGTCTATCAGACCTGGTACTGTTGGGCGCTACTCCAACAAAAACCACCCCCAGCCGTAATCCATCTCTGGAACCGTCCAGGAGGACATACTCGAAGTTGGGCGGCATGTCAACGTACAGGACTAGTGATCACCTGCAGTCGTATTCGACCTGTAACTACCTCTCTCTGACCTCTGGTGCTCCCTTTCTTCCGCCTCTTTTTGTTTGAGCACGTTCACTATGAAAGTGTCAGTGACTTTCCAACCATCTCTGGAGTTTAGAATGAGGTTTACAGTTGTGTCGGGGGAGGCTGCGATTCCCGTAGCCAGTTCGTAGGCAGTTCTTTCCCCAAGCCACCGTCGCATACAAACAAGGTATGTTCCGCGTCATCCACCATACCACAATATATGCCTACGTCGTCCGCATTCTTACCTATCCAGCTGGTAAAATTCCTGAACGAGCCATGCCCCGTGAAGAACTGAGTAACGTAGTAGTTTAGCTGGCTGCGTTTGCAGGCCGACCAGGTCTCAACGTCCGGAATCAGTCTTTTTATCCATTGAGCATTACGGTTATTATTTTCCCACCTGTCCTGCCACTCCCGTATCGTTCTGTGTCTCTCGACGCCTTTATGGATACCTCGGACCTCCAGAATCTCGTCCAGGCAAGCCCTCTCCCTGACCAAAAGATCCATAGGAGGGATCCCTGCCAAGACACAGGCAGCTTCCGCCGACACTGTTCTATATGCGGTGATGTATCTGAGTAACATTTTCCTCTGTAGAGCATTTACCATCTTTCGGTACTTATCCACCTCTATGGCCCTCTTCCAAACTGGTGCGACGTATAATAGCACCGATTGTACCACCCCGTATAGCATAGTGCCTATAGTATATTGCCTATAGTGGGACCCCTCACATTGGGCAGTATCCTTGTCAGGGCAGCTATTTGCCTGTCTGCCTTTCGCAGGATTTCTGAATATGTTCATTGAAGATCGACTTATCGTCCAGCCAGACGCCAAGATACTTCACGAATTTTTACGGCGCTATCCTTGTACCTTGCAGAGATACTTAACCTAACCTTACCTAATCTAACCTAACCTAACCTAACCTAACCTAACCTAACCTAACCTAACCCAACCTAACCTAACCTAACCTAACCGAACCTAACCTAACCTAACCTAACGTAACCTAACCTAACCTAACCTAACCTAACCCAACCTAATCTCACCTAACATAACTTAACCTATATAATTAATGTTCTTCGTAGACTGTTAATAGAAATTTCAAAGGTTTATAACTTCTTTGTTCTCCGCGGGCGTCTCACGGGTAGGGTGTCACTGTGCTCAGCTCGTTCTAGGACTGACTGTTCCGCTGAAGTAAAGCCTGTCCCGCAAAATAAATTGAATGTATACTCATTGAAATAATTCAATGATCATTTCGTACCTTCCCGTCCTCACAACTTACACACGCTGATGCTTTCTAATGTCATTTTGTAAAAACACTGCACTTACTCTCGTCCAAATACGTAAGTGTGATGAATGTAGAATTAACGTTACAAGCGATGAAAGAAAATGAAATATGGATCATTAGAAAATTGAGTAACTAATAACCAGCAATTAAGGAATTAGACAGTAATTTTTCAAAAAATCATTATTTAATAACCCACCCCACTATCCCTAAAAGTACCCCCCACATAGACAACTTCAACTTTTCAAGATTTTACGCCACTACCATCATACGAATGAAAATGAACCATGGTAAGTTCCCTGCACATCTGGCAAAAATAGTTATTGATGTGAATCCGTTATGTTGTTGTGACAATTTTTCTCCAGCGGATATAAATCACATCCTATTCACATGTCCTAACTTTCCTCGAATGTTTCGTTTCCAACAAATATAACAGTGCTTTTAGCTACACTAAATGAAAATATATATAACACAATTCTAAAATTCATAATTGAATCTGAAATATCAATATAAAAAGTAGTAACTCGATTGATTCGAAAATTCTGTGGCAAAATAAACTCAGGTTCAGTTCAGTCTTGACAAGCGTATTTTGACGTTAATTCCAATCGTTTTTGCATTTTAGTTCATTGTGTATCAATGGGGAATGTTCCTCCTGACGAAAATCAAGTGGTTTTCATAAAAGAGCTCTAAAACAACGCATTTTAAACTTATCATTTCAACCTTTTTTTTAATTATTTAAATACTCAAAAGAGGGATTCGTTTTTATTTCACCATTTAGCAACATCGGTTATAGCTAATAAAGGACAATGAATCTGTTACCTGTATGAAACAAACAAAGATGGCATATTTCAGAGGCGTGCTGTTATGTTCACTTATGTTCTGAGTTCCGAAACATTCTGTGATATATGACATTTTTTCTCCTAACCTATCTTCCTCTATATAAATGAATAACAAAACAACTGTTGTTTATGTGGCTTGTGGAGGTGGTATTGAACTATAATTTGTATTATGCCTTGATTGTTGATTTATAAAAATAATTTTCCTTTTATAAAGTAGAATATTTAGGTAGGCATAAATTATTTCAACTTGATATATTATATGCAAGATAAAATATTCTAGGCATCCTGCATAGCCCCATAATATGGAGGTGTTTCCTCTGTTGACAGTGGCCAGTCAGAAATACTACTGTCAAGCGTAGGTTTTTCCTGGTCATCGCCAGATATTTCTTCGGCGCCAGCTTCGCAGGGTCGCCCTGAGTGACCCTGACTAGACTACATCCTTTGATTCCATTGCATCTCTTCAGTTAGTTTAGTTAGTTGGCTAGTTCCGCATTCGTCAGGCCGTAGGTGTCACTAGGTCCTAAAATTCTTAGTCCATACAATATTTGACTCAGTCAATTTTTATTAACTGAAACTCTATACACGCGAAAAAAACTAAAAAAGAGTACTTCTACGTGGTTACTAACATACTCTTGAAATCTAAACAAACTGAAAATACTCCTGATTTCCAAATGGTCCAAATGGTTATTGGTGACTAGTTTGGATGAACTGTTCATGATGTTCAACAAAGCCTGTTTATTTTCAGGGTCTCAAGTCTTTAGCATTCACAACCCTGATCAAGTTCTTTGTTGAATATTGGTCATATTCTCCTGGATATACTAAATGGGCTAAAAAGTCTCGGACCTAACACATAGATGACACTGGTCTTTGCATCCACAGCTTTTTTTGTTAGTACTAACCTAAAAAAAAAAGCTGTTGAAACTTCATGATATTCTATTTATGAGCTTGTGAGTTATTGTGCTAGGAGTGACACTACTTTTGTTTTTTTTTTCAAAACAATGGATCAAAAACAATTTCCTGTTTTAACTTTACACTGCTACCTGATGGGAAAAATACTCTTCAAGCGAAGCAATGGCTTGGAAAGTGTTCTTAGGACTCTGCTCTATCAGAAAAAAATATCAAACGTTGGTTTGCTGACTATAAACGTGGTCGTTGAGAAACCATGATGAAAAACGCAGGCAGTAACATCAGAAAACATTAAAAAATCCACAAAATCGTTTTGTATGGTCGAAAACTGAAGTTGCGTGAGTTAGCTGACATTGGAAAGGTATCCGAAGAAGGTATTGACTTTATATTGTACGAGCATTTGCCTATGAGACAGCTCTGTTCAAAGTGGGTGCCGCGCGAGTTCACTGTTAACCAAAAACAAGATCGTCTTGATGTTTCTTAGCAGTATTTGGCCATTTTTAGACATATCAATCCGGAACATTTGCATCGATATGCGACAATGGATGAAACATGGATTCATCACTTCACTCCGGAATTAAAACGATCGTCTTCTGAGAGGAAAGCAACTGGTGAACCTTGTCCGAAAACAAAACAAGCAGCTGTAAAGGTTGGGGCCTCGATATATTGGGATGTGCGTGTTATAATATTCCTCGACTATCCTGAGAAGGAAAAAACAATCAACAATGTGGTCTGACCCCTCTGGACCTGTACGTTAAGGAGGTTGCGTTAATGGCTATGTTACGATTGCGCACGGCTGGTGTAAACCTCGAAGTGGGAATGGGTCAATTGAGGCTGAGCCTATGGCGAGAAGCGCTTACTGCGCAACCTCTACTTCAGGCAACTAGTGATGCAATTGAATGCAGGTTTGTGTTTACGCAACCCTACAACATACAAATGACAGAAGACAGAGTCAGATGATACAAATGGAATACGCATATATACAGATGGCTCAAAAACGAAAGAAGGCGCAGGATGTGGAGTGTACTCCAGATCACTACGCCCAAGGATTGAGTGGGGAATGGGAAAAAATACCAGCGTGATCCAAACAGAACTGGCTGGTGTCTCAATCGCCACAAAAGAAATTACCAGGAAATGAATTTCTGGCAAAAACATAACAATATGCACTGATAGCAGACAAACCCTATTAGCCTTGAACAGATAACGTGTTACCTCAGGGTTAGTATAAGAGTTCCACCAAGATTTAGCCAAAGCCTAGGTAGATAATAACATTATCCTGAGGTGGATTGAAGGGCACGACAGGAGTGAAGGTAATCTCATTGCCGACTCTTTAGTCAAGGAAGCGGCTGGACTAAGAATTTCAGGACGCAGTGGAACTAGTCAAACGTCACACCCATGCTTAATCATGAAGAGATGGGATGAAATCAAGAGAGGCAATCTTGCCAGGATCACCCTGGGCGACCCTGGAAAGCTGGCGCCAAAGAAATATCTGGCGATAACCAGGAAAAACCTATGCTTAACAGTAGGATTTCTGACTGGCCACTGTCAACTGAGGAAGCACATCCATAATATGGGGCTAGTGGATACACCTTCATGCAGGATGTGTGAACAGGAAGATGAGACTGTCAGGCATGTCCTGTGCGAGTGCTCGGAGTTATCGTCAATAAGAGAGTGTGTGTTCAGCGAGTTTTGGTCTACACCTGCCGATATAAAGGAGATGTCTCCCAGTGACCTGGTCGCCTTCCTGAAAAGGAAAGGATGGACGGTGACCTAGGAGGACAACTCCTCGAGAAGTTGTAGAATGGGTCAGATGTGTCCTAAGTGCTGTGGGCTTACGATCTCCCTCCATACTCTACAGACACACAGAACCCTTTTCCTGTATCCAAAATTTTGGTAACCTCATAGCTGGTTCAAGGCCCATACATGAAGTTGATTTTTGTGTCTAGCTCATCACTCCTTTATCATCTGTAGCTCATGAGAGTTTTTGCAAATAGTAAATAATCAGTAGTTTGGGGGTGAGTATGGAGGATAAATTATAAAAAATAACTGAGAATAGTTTATGACTACAATAACTTGAGGTAGAGAATTCACACATAAATGCCATTTTCCATGCTAACCGATAATGAGGGATTTTTGTTAGGCTGACCTTCAGCTTTGATTCGAATGAATATCAACTGAGAATAGTGAAAACTGAATTGTATACAATTGAGGAAGGCTCATACTTTCGCTGAAATTCAAATTCAAAACACCTTGTGTAACCTGGATATCTACAAATGCGTAAACTCATTTCAGTTACTAGATGTCCATCTTTAAGTTCATCACTCATAGATGCAGATTACGGATTCGATGGATAAGCTTACTGTGAAGTATTTTAAGAACGTTACTAAAATTAAAATTTGATGGCGTCGTTGATGTCAATCCTCGTAAAATAACTCTGCACGAGTTGCAATTTGGTTAAAGATATAAACGCCATAATGAATAAGTCTATTTGTACACTCACAGCGTATTTCAACCAGTACGAGTAAAAAAGCAAGAGTACTGTAAACAGAACGTTAATCGACTTGGAACGGCTTCAAATCAGAAAAGGATATAAAACAGTTGTATCAGATATTTGGTAATCATTTTCTTAGGCTCGGTGCTCATTCATACACTTCGACAATAGTGTG